GTCTGCCATGGGTGACCCTACCAGGGGCATAAAGCCCCAGACAGCATAGCTCCTAGGATCATTGGGACACTCAAACCCCTCCACCACGATAAGGTAGCAGCCCAAGGAGAGGCAGAAATTGCACATGATTGCAAAAATCCATTTCTGGCCTCTTTGACAGGCTATAAGACCACCTTCACATTGGGGAAAAAAAATGGGACTTTGATCCAATATAGCCACTTTCAAGATGGCAACCATGTTCTGGACTTAGCCTAAAAGATAAGTCCCCCTCACCCATTACTTGTTTGGGGTACTCAGATCTTTCATTTTCCATTTTGTTTTTGAAAGGGTGTCCAGGGACTTTTGACTCACCCTGGACCAACTTTGACACAAATTGTTAATCAGAGATGGCATTGACACCCAAATAGTTAAAATGACATTTTAAATTATGAGCTTCTTAAGCAATTTCTTAAGGCTGAGGATATTTATTAGGGATCCTTCCCATCAACATTATCAGAGATGAGGGTCAAAGTCTGATCTGTGCCCTGAGCTGAACAGAACCAGCGACTGTTGTCTCAGTTCCTTTAAGGAAACAAAACTGTAACAAAGAGCTGGAGTGGACGTCACTTTGACGTCATCACAAATAGTCATTTTTTTCTATCTTTTACAGTTTACAGTAACCGAGTTAGTCACATTAATAAGTAGTCACATGGTGTTTGGGCTGTTTGTTTCCATTAATCTTTATTATGAGGTCTATCTCCAAGGAGTTCAGAGAGCTGATAAAAACAGACTCCCTCCACCTTCGGGCAGGACACCGTCTCACATCTGTCCCAGTTTCAGCCACAGGAACCGTCGCGTCTTTGTCCCATTTTCTTAACCAGGTCTCAGTCCCACACTGTACACAATCACTGACAGCAAACAGACTCGAGGGAGATTTCCTCACTTTTTACATCCAGACAGTATTTGTGGGATTTGTACAAAATGCAACGATTTGCAAATCTCACAATTGTATTTACAGTGGAACACAGTAAAGAAATGTTTAAACTAAGAAATTGGACCATTTTTAGAAAAAATAAGATCCCTTTTTACCACTGAGAAACATGTCGTCCTTTTTTTTAAACAACAGTCTGTAAATATTTAGGAACTGCAGAGACCAGCTGGAGTTTTTTGGCGGGAAATGTCCCGTTTTTGTCTGATGCAGGATTTTAACTGTTCAACAGTCCTGGATTTTCTTTGCAGATGTTTTGTTTCATGATGTGTGTGTTTTGTATTAGTGAGAGGTCTAAAGTACAGGCAGGTCTGTTCAACACCACAACTCTTCTGTTGTGAAGTCACCTTGTTGTAATACGGAGGACCGAAAATAAAAGTAGAAATATATAAATGGACCAATAAATAAATAAAAACACTTAAAATGCACCAATTAAATTAAAAAGGAGAACTTTACCTCGTTTTTTGTAATTTAATTGACCTTGACATTTAATTTTCCAGCTTAGTTTCAATATATATATATATATATATATAGCACATAATTTACCTTTTACTGTTTTTTAAAAGGATCCATGATTAGTTGTAACATTAGACTATATTTGATAAACATTTATTTTAACTGTAAAATAAAGACTGTTTAGTTTTATAATTTTTTTAAAATATATTTTAACACGGATGGAGCAAAGCATTCTGGGTAAATGATGATGTGGATAGGTCCTCGGTGTGAGCGAGCTATATCCACCCTGAAGGTTAATCTTGGACAATATCTGATGATCGACTCTTTTAAATAAAACCAGAGAGCGTTGACAGAGAGGAGAAGGTAGAAATGACTCAGCCTGTAACTGAAAATATGGAGGACAACAGAGCTGCTTCATGGAAGAAAAACCTCAGCTTAGCCTGTTAACCTTCGAACTAGTGACAACTCTATATTACCTTATATGTATTAGCTCAGCGCTAGCGTGACAAACTAACAAGCTAAACTGAGGTCCTCCATCCATATTTTCATTTCTACCTTCTCTCTGTCATGTGGATGGAGGACCTCAGTGACGAGAGGAGAATGTGTAGCGCTGAACTAATACATACATATGGTGATAGCATCGGGGCTAACGCTAAAGCTAACAGGCTAAGCTGAGGTTCTTCTTCCATGAAGCAGCTCTGTTGTCCTCCATCCATATTTTCAGTTACAGGCTGAGTCATTTCTACCTTCTCCTCTCTGTCAACGCTCTCTGGTTTCATTTAAAAGAGTCGATCATCAGATATTGTCCAAGATTAACCTTCAGGGTGGATATAGCTCGCTAGCAGCCTCGCACTGAGGACCTATCCACGTCATCATTTACCCAGAATGCTTTGCGTGTAAATAAAATGGCCCCGTCCGTGTAATATATTTTTAAACTTTGTTTAAAAATTATAAAACAGCCTACAATATTTTTACAGACTTTATTTCACAGTTAAAATATGTTTATCAAATAAAGTCTAATGTTACAACTAATCATGGGTCCCTTTAACTATATATTTTTGTTTTTCCTTTAATTCATCATTAAATGAGTTTTTTAATTGATTTTTCCCACAAGGCGTATAATTTCCATGTGTTGCTTTTACATTTCGTGTATTTACATTTCCTTTTGCATTTCAGCCTCATGCAAATGAGGTGGGCGGGCCTTCTTGGATCAGCTCCTCTCCTATTGGTCAACAGACAGGAAAGAGCAGGATCCATGTGTAGACCAACTGTGCATGCCTGTGCTGTTTCAGTTTAGCTTAAAGTTTTGTTTAAAACAAAGGCACGGGTGTTTTTCTCCTTGCCGTTGAGCTTTAACTAACATTTCAGGATGGTGAACTGCGTTTACAGATTTGTGGAAGGGTTGCTGCGAGTATGCATTGATGCCCATAACAGAATCAGATCTGTTTTTAATGTAAAACTGCCACAGAGCCTGAGGATCAGGCCAACATTTAGTTTTGTCCTTGGAGCTGAGATTTCTCCAGATTACTGAAATCATTTGGTAGTATTATGTACTGTAGATGATATGCAAAGTCTCCCCGCTGCTCTATTGAGGAGAGTTTTTCTGAAAATGTTTCAACTATTTTTAGATGCAGTTTTTTTGCAGAATTTATGTTCATCTTTACTTCTGAGATGAGATTCAGCCTTTCTGAAATGCTGTTTTTATGCCAAGTCCTTTTACTTATAATGTATTACTAAGTGCTCCTCCAGTTATTTTTTATTTGTACCACATACTTTTACGGACCTTTGTTGCTCATCTCGTCTTTCTTTAGACTAAATTTCATCTTCTTTCCCCAAATATGTTTACAGTGTTGTATTGTGAATAATGTGTTGACAGTGGTGGGCATGTCCCCTAAAGCACTAACAGGGGAACTAATTTTCTGATTAGTACTTAAGGGCTTTTACTAATTTTAGAATTTATTAGTGGATTAGCACTCGCTAAATTTATAAGCTAAATTTAGAAGTGCTAACTGAGGTCTTTAAATGTTTTGATCAACATTATTGTTAATAGCTGAGGGTGAAAGCTGTCACACATTTTGTTCATATGGTCACATATCCACTAGGTGACAATATATTAACAATATATGAACACAAAAACAGCTGTGGAATGTCAATGATAAGTCTTCAGAGAGCAACATGGTAATATGTGACTCATGTTGTCTGTTGAAGAATGTTTATGGGTTGACTGGCTTATTTTAGTGCTTTAGAATTAGCTTTTGCTAAATTTTTCAGAGCATTGTTGCTTTAGAATTAGGGGACCTAAACATTTGACTGAGTGCTTTAGGGCTAGTGGAACTCATTTTTAGATTGGTGCTGCCCACCAGTGGTGTTTGAGAGTTTAAAAAAATGACTACGTTCTGGATCTATTTACATTTTACACAATGTCTCCAATTTTTGAGAATTTTGGTTAAAAGCCTCACAGATTTATCATCACGTTCTCCAAAACTGGCCCACGAGGGCCACTATCCTGCGTGTTTTATAAGGTTTATGTGCTTCAGCACACCTGATTTAAATGAATGGGTGATTACCAGGTTTTCCGCAGAACTTGAAGAGGTCATTTAATCACTGAATCAGGTGTGCTGGCGGGGAAGCAGGTAAAAACATGCAGGACAGTGGCCCTCGAGGACCAGAATTGGACTCCCCGGTCCTAGACTCTGCCACCACACTTTTTCCCTCAATCGTCAATAAGCTGCTGTTTTTATTTAATCACCGAGTGATTTGTTGAAAATTAAAAAAATAAAACAATCAGTTTTAAGCTAGATAATAGAGAAGAAGCACAAAGGATTTGAAGTCCTTAGAAGGTTTTTTTCCATCAGGGAAAAAACCCCCAAAACAACAAAATAAGTAAAAGCAGCTTTTCCTGCTGAGCTCCAGCAGAGTGTTTGTTCATTTAGGATGTTAGGTGACAGAATGATCAACAACCGCTGTGTGCTGGCATTTTTCACTAAAATTAGATTGACTCTTAGCTGTGAGCCACTTGCTGAAACCCTTTTCAGCAAATCACCAGTTTTGTTTTTGTTTAAATCCTCTTTTTTTCCCTCTCTCTCGACAGCTTTTGAAACGTTGAGTACTTTCCCTTTGTTTTAGGTTTAAGATGTTTTTAAGTATAAAAAGATTGGAGTTTTTCATGTTATCTTCTGTCAGAGTAGCAGTCCTGACTGGATTAAAGGAATCAAATATTTAGTCATTCCTTTGGCTAAAATATATTTATATATATTTAGTCATTCCTACTTGTTTCCCCCCAAAGGCCTAAACACAAATATATATCCCCAGAACACTCAACACGTACTGCTGAAATGATTTTATGTCTTTTCAGTCCAAACCCATAATCCTGTCCTTATCAGATAAACATAAAAATCGTGTTTTTTGAAAAACCAACATGTTTATCCTAAAAAAAGCGGCCCAGGATAGGAAAAGATGGGTTTAACAAAGGAAACATTTTATTTTTTTTTTTCATTTTATGCTAGTTGTGAAAGGAATTGAATTATAAACCTAACAAAACCAGTGAACAACAAAAGTAAAGCTCGATTTCTTTTGGTATTTTGCATAAAAAACATTTTTATTTTATAGCTAAATTATATATTCTCGTCTTCATCGCCATCATATGATACATGCTTGTATGACATCTTCACGCTTGTTTGTTCACGTTTTTCGAGTGCTGGTGCACGGCCTCCACGAAGGCGCCCACGTTCTCGGGGTCCATGTCGGGGTAGAGGCCGTGCCCCAGGTTGGCGATGTAGCCCCTCGTGCCAAAACCTTCCAGCATCTTCTTCACAATGTCTGAAATGCGCTCCTGAAGGGGAGGAAGAGGAGTTGAAGGTAAGAAATGAGGGGATCGCTACGTCAGCTGTATAATCCTTTAATGCACGGCTGTTTCAGCTGTAGGACAAAACTAAGGCGTAGAGTAAAAGTACACGTCTTCTGATTTAGCTTTTTTTGGCACTTAAATGTTTCAGATCAAACAAATATAAATATCTGACAAAAATAATCAATCATCCTGCTGCAGAACCAAAGTGTTGATGTTCTCCATCAGGATTTTTAGTTTTTTTTAAATCTCTAAAATACTTTTTCAGACCAGTGTACTACAAAATTACACCCTAACCTCAGAAGTTTTTGTTTTATTAATAATAAATGGATACCGTAATTTGAAGTGGAGTTACAATAAAAATGAAGCAGAGGAGACACAAAACGCTAAAAAACATTCTTGCATCTTTTTGCTGATAAAATAAAGAAATTCAGGGTACATTTACATCTAAAAAACAAACATTAAGAAATACTTTAGAAAGGATCAAGGTTTCTATGCTGTTTGTTTACAAAATGTGATTTTACCTTCATTAAATTATAATGATAAACACATTTAGCCTAAAAGAATACTTCAAACATACTTCACGACAGCTCACAATCAAGGCTGGGCTGAAATAATGTTTGTGCTAAAATCTTCAAAAGCTGCTTAGAATAAAAGTGCTCAATTTATGCAGATTATAGTAAATTTTTTTTTTTTTTCCAGAAATAAAACAAAAGTGCTTAAAAAAAAAGACCAGTATGGAAGAATTGGTTACCTTTGGAGCATACAGAGCACATGGGTCCATGTTTCCCTGCAGACTGACCTTTCCTCCTGTGCGCTCCCTGAAAACACACACACACACACACACACACACACACACACACACACACACACACACACAC